GAGGGGGGAGGTTGATTTCCTTCATTCTCCAATTCCTCCTCCATGACTTAGAGGCTATGCTGCCTACAATCCCTCGATCCTTATACTCAGGTGTAGATCCCCTTCTTCCCTTCTCGCTACTGCTTTCTCCGATCTGTCTTCAAACACTCGGGGAACACCTTGTTGCGGGTTAAACAAAACAACTCAACTTACCTGTGCTACCTTCGCCTACCAAGAAAGGACTACCTCTAAGCACGAACTGCTGCGCGGAGCTCACGTTGGGTGAGTGTGCACGTGCCCTCACTTTCCATCGGCGATGGTGGAGGAGGCGAGGAGGTAGCGGCGTGGCGATCGAGGAAGAAGAGACCATTCGCCACGCAGGCGCCGACCGACGCCGGTTCGGAACGGAGCGCTCCGTAGCGCAAAACCCGTCCGCGTGCGGCGTTCCCCGTTTTCCCTGCTTGAAAATCAAATACGCGCTGGGAAAGAAAAAAAAAATCCGAATTTCGGGGGCATCTCAAAACTTTTCCCAAAAACTAAAATTCCCACCAAAAAAAGAGAAAAAAGAAAAAAAAGACTGTGAATGTCAGGGGTGGAGGCAGCTATGCGGGGCATGTGAAGATGTGGTTACTTTGATAAGATGAATCTGGTCCAGAGTGACGTCGAGGTGCAATGAGAAACCAAAATAGGGCGTTGTACGGACTGCTTCGTGTTCTGGCTGGATGAGCGGTTACGTATTCGGTCTCTAAGAAGACCAGGAGCGAGTTCCCACTAGCCATGTATGTGGATTAGTGTGACAGTGTGGGACGGGTGGGGGACAGGTGGGTTGCAGCGTGAAATAGGGAAAATAAAAGCAAAAAAAACATGTCATGACCAAACAAATGAAGGAAAAACTGCTAAAACAGAAAAGAAAGTGCTCTTCTCACAGATGGTGTCTGCTCCAGGCGGGGTGTCAGATGTCAGGACATGATTCACTGACCATGGCTGTGGCAGCCAAGACGATTGCATGTGAGTCCGCACACGGACTATATTCATTGACAATAGTCCGAGGCTTCCTTGAAATAGGCCGCAGTGCACGCTGTGCAGTTGTTCTGACAGAAACTCTCTCTGGCAAAGGAGGGCAAGAGTAACTCCACACACCATTTGCAGTAGGTGAGGGGATCGAACCCTTCCCAAACACCTCCCAAACCACAATCAATTTCCAGCGATGAAGCCATTCTTCTTTGCCTTCGTGGTGAACGGAACGTGCTTGATTTCATTACCCAAAAACATTGGTCTCGTTTGGGACCGCCACAGGGTCCCCGACAGCAAGTCGAAAGGAAAAAAAACTACCAACGGGAGAGCCAAAAAAGAAACATCCTTTTCCCGGGCTTAATTCACAAAAACTGGCTACCGCTGATTTCCTGCCCAATCCACGATGCCTGACAGTCACACACCTCACCTCAAACGCTAATCCACATATACACTCCACGTACATCGGTAGTGGGATCTCGCCCCAGGTTCCTATCCTCTAACCGCGGACCGGGGCGTGGTTCCACTAGGAAAGAGGATCGGATAGAAATCCTGAACCTGGCCATGTTGTGTGCAGAGATACAGAAAAGCAGTTCGATCTCGATTTCCCGCTCCTGTCCTTGAACACGTCCAGATTCACGCATTCAATCCGATGGTCTCTTGCTAATGGGACCACGGCCCGGCGCGGACATAACGTCCGTTTCCCGGAGGTAGTGGCAGGGTTGTGGGAAAACTCCGAAAAAATTCAAACAATACAATCTACTCTCCAATCTTCACCTTTGGGACGTGGGCGCGCTCCATGTTTGTTAGCTATGGAGTTGTTGTAAAAGGCGGACGATGGACGGAAGAGCATTGGTCGATGAGTTAAACGAATAACGCGCCGAACAATTCATTGCGTGGCCCCGCCATCCTGGGGCTAGGTCCCACTTGCACGAATGAAGAGAGATTGACCGTAGATAGCAATGATCAACGGCCGAAATCTCTTAATTTGCGCAAGTGGGACCTTGCCCCTGCAGTCCTGTGCGGGGAGGTCACGAAACCTAACGGCATCTTCGGACGATGGATGGAGACGTTGGAGAGTCCCAGGGACCGAGTCCCACTAGCAGCGTTGAGTTTCATCAACGACGAATCGGGACGTGTTTGTGGAGATGTGCGGTTGAGGAAAGTCAACGCGATTTTTCTGCACATTTCGACAAATAGGGCCAGATTCGGGCGTTGAAGAAAGTTAAAGCGGCCAGTGGGATTTGTTTCTCGATTTATGCGTGCCATCCTTGATTGCGCAGGGAGGCGCCACGCTAATCTGTTTTTCTCTCTCTCTCTGTATCGTTCCAGGGAGGGGCCACGCTAGCGGGATCTCCCGAAGAACAAGCTCCTAGCGGGACTTGGCCCCAGGGGAGGGGCGGTTTGTGAAAGGGCGGCAGCTTGGAAAGCACAGGGTTTGTGAAAGTTAAAGAGGACGGTTGATTGTAGCAAGCAGTTCAATCGACGAACGTTGTGCGGGCGAGAGAAGGAGCGGTGCGGGCGAGAGAAGGAGCGACGATGATTTTTCCTTCACCATGTGAAGGAGTGTGGTCTGGTCAGTGAGTCGCTGACCCGAAAGAAGGGGCAGCCAGAGCTGAAGCTATCCCTGCACTTCTTTTTTGATACAGCAACGAGACCAACATGACGTACGTTGGTATGCCGTCTGTTGGGTATCGAATGCGGCGAATGACTTATTAGAGGACACCTTCAGGATAATAGTTCGCGAGTGCATGTATCTGACCGTGATCAGGACTTCGTCCTATGTTTTTTTCGCCATAGCTAATTTGCCTCTCTCTGAAGAGAGCTGTAGTCTGTAATGTGCCTTTGTAAATACTTGCGGATTCGATCTTTGCATCTGTTACTGCCACTTACTGGACGTTTTTCCTCTGTTGAGTGTGGCGTCCGACGTGTAGCATGATTGGCGGAGCATGACCTGTTAGTCAGTGTTAGATAATACTACGCAATGATTGATAGGTGGAGTAGCAGTATTTCGATTTACCGCCTGCCAATCTGATGCCCGTCTTTTCCCGAAAACAACGCACGGTCATTACTCCTGTCTCTGGAGTCTGGACTGAAAGTGGCCCCAAATACTGACATAATGACCGTACGCTCTATTCGGGGGAAGAAGGGTGGGTAGCCGCCATGGATGATCTCTCGATTGGTCGGTTATCGCAGAATCGTCCACGGTCATTAATCCTGTCTTTGGAGTCTGGACTGAAAGTGGCCCGAAATACTGACATAATGACCGTACGTTCTATTCGGGGGAAGAAGGGTGCGTAGCCGCCATGGATGACTATTTCCAGCCACGTCCAAGTATATTTTAATGCCACTGATGATGACTATTTCCAGCCACGTCCAAGTATATTTTAATGCCACTGATGATGAAAACGACGGATTCTTGCGTTTTTTTGGCTTTCGTAGATCTCTTGCTCTTTGTCTGACTGTGTCTTGCTGAGCGTCTCTCTCTGGCGCGTTTCACCTGTGATGCAGATCTGTAGAAGGTTAATAATCCCTTACCTGATTTCGCCATCGTAGAGGATCGATCCGTTGACTGGTCGCATCGATCGATTCATCGATCAATCGATTCATTATCGCTGATGAGGACGAATTGCAGCGACGTCGAAGAATGTTCGCGTCACTGTTAGAGAATCATGGTACTCGGTGGTTGCGTTCTGACTTTTCGCTGATCTGAGATCTCTCTTTTTTTTTTCTGTTTTTTTTTTTGTTTTTTTGTTTTTTGTTTTTTTTTGAATATCCAGGCGTTCTAGAGGCCAGATTCCTGACATACGATATAGTCACCTTCGCCAATCGGCCGTATCCCGATGGGCCATATCGAGACCCCTATTTCTATCATCCTATGAGACTCCCTCCAGAGTCCAGACCGACAACACTCGTAATTTGTTCCCGGCGCAGCTCTCTTGCTTTCTGATTGGCTGCTTCTCGATCTCTCGCGTTTTGTTTTCTTTTGCATGACATTACTACCGTATTCCCCCGAACATAACGCACCCTGAAAATGAATGTATACAAGCTATATTTCTGGCCAGATAGAGCCAACATGAGGGTGCGTTGTGTTCGGGGGAAGAGGGTCGGACGTGGGCGTCACTCCACTACTACGGTCGTAGTCACCAAATGACAAGTCAGATGAGCGAAATGACAATGAATCTTCCGCTAGAACATGGGAAGATGCACCGCCTTCTCTTTTGTATTTTTTGTATGTGGAGAGTAGTGGAGCGAGGCCCTATGGTTGAGTGAGCGTACGCGCTCTCTTTCTGAGTTGCAGACGCTTTGTATTATAGATACATCGCCGGTCGGTCCTGTTTGTCGTCTCGATGAACCGGAGTCAACCTGTCGATTATATTTATATAGGCTATAGGGCGGGATTTGAACCGTGGTAGATTTTTTTATTATTATTATTATTTTTTGGTGCTAGATCTCGCCGATTCCCCGATAGATTTGTTTTTGTTCTTCTTAACGTATCATCAGGTCGTCATTGGGTAAGGAAAAGTAAGCGGCAGAGAAACTCCGGTCAACGTGTGTTTTCCTGGTGCATTTTTCGATAGAGAGTCGCATCTGGATGGATCTGAGTGGAATTGGTGTCTAACTGCAGTCGGAAAAGTCCTAGCGTGACTCGGAGAGATGCCTTTTGGGGGAAATCACTTGTACGCCAGGAAGGCAGGTCGAGTGCAGTGGCAGGCATGCACGGTGGCAGAAATCATTTTGTACGCCAGGAAGGCAGGTCGAGTGCAGTGGCAGGCATGCACGGTGAACCTGGTTGCATTGCACGTCAGATTCTGCCAACGGCGACAGAAGGTGGATGGGTGAGCAGGGAAGCTTCGTAATATTATCACCGTAGATCGCTGCCACCGGCTGCCACCGGATCCGACACACGGTAGGAAAGAGATGGGAGGAGAATGGCCGTGTGAGGAGAAAATCTCCGCTTCTGCTTCTCTAGCTGCGTGGAGATGCTGAGCACACCGTCGACTGTGAGATCTATATTGTGAGTGTGTAGGGTTGGTTCTTGCCAATCTCACCGGAAGGCCAGGGTTGTGAAACGGGGGGGGGGGGGGGGGGGGGGGGGGGGGGGGGGGGGGGGGGGGGGAGAGGGAGGGGGGGGGGGGAGAGGGGGAGGGGGATAATGTCAGCATAGGATTCAGTAATCTAATCGGTATGGATTGGCTGACCTGGAAGTCCAACTCGACCGTGGCCTCGGCGGGATCGGGATCCGCGTCGTCATCAGAAAATGAATCGACGAAGAAGTTTGAAGGTCCCGCCATTGGGATCGATCTTGGGACAACGAACAGCTGTGTCGGGGTCTGGTCACATGGCCGTGTGGAGATCATCCCCAACGATCACGGGCATCCGATCACTCCGTCCTGCGTAGCCTTCACACAGCAAGGCGATGTGCTCGTGGGCAAGACCGCCAAAAATCAGGCGGCACGCAATCCTGAAAACACCCTGTTTCATGTGAAAAGGTGGATGGGGCGGCGCTACGGAGACGTCATCAAGACTGTAAAGAAGATGGCCAAAGGGTTGTGGTCCTACGCTTTCACGCGTGGCGATGGAGGAGGAGGAGGAGGAGGAGAATGCGTGATTGAAGTGGAGAGTGGTAGGCGGAAGAAGAAGTACACGGCGGAGGAGATTTCAGCGATCATTCTGAAGAAACTCAAGGAGATCGCCGAAGCTTACCTAGATTCCACAGTGAAGAGAGCCGTGATTGGAGTGCCGGCCAATTTTACCCAGGCGCAGAAGCAAGCGACGAAAGAGGCCGCGCGACTTGCTGGGCTGGAGGTCGTCAGATTGGTAACGGAGCCATCTGCTGCCGCTCTGGCCTACGCCCTGCGTACCAGTGGCGGAGGGGGTGGCAGCGATGGCCGCGGCGCCGGAGGAGGAGGAGGCGGCAGCGGGATCGGCAATCCCGCTGCCGGATCGTCGAAGATTATGGTGGTTGATTGGGGAGGGGGAACCCTGGACGTCTCCATCATGAAGGTGAAGAAGCAAGAGTACGCTGTCATCGCCGTTGCCGGCGACACTCATCTGGGCGGCGAAGACATCGACGACGCTCTCGTGACGCACTTCGCCGACGAATTCCAGCGTTTGCACAGGATCCCGATTCGAGACAGCCCGCGTGCGATGCACCGGCTGCGCGCCAAGTGCGAGGATCTGAAGCACGATCTGTCCTTTCGCGAAGCTACCACGATCTGTGTCGATTGCCTCGCGGAAGGATTCGATTTCGAAATGACCATGAGTCGCGCAGGCTTCGAGGAGCTTATCGGTCCCATCCTCCAAAAATGCATGGATTTCGTCGAGAAGGCCATCGCGGACGCGGGAATAAAAGACAAGTCGGAGATCTCGAAGGTGATTCTGGCCGGTGGATCGACCAGGATACCCAAGCTGCAGGAGATGCTGTCAGATTCTTTGGGCGCCAACAAATTGTGCAAGAGCATTCATCCGGACGAGTGTGTGGCGTACGGCGCGACTGTCCAGGCGGCCTTACTCACAGGAGAGCTGCAGATGAACGTCACGGATCTCACGGTCGTGGAGGCCGTTCCTGTAACGATCGGCATGTCGATTGCCGGGGGTTCCTTTCTTAGATTGATTCCTAGAAACAGTCCGTATCCTTTTCGACTCGAAGAACGGCTCCGGGCTGCATACGACGGCGACACGTCAGCAGGAGTGTATCTGTATGAAGGGGAAAGGGAGAAGCCCGAGGCAAACGAGTTCCTCGGGGGCGTGACCATCGATGGTTTGAAACCGGGACCACCAAACAGCGGGGAAGAGTGTGCTCCCTTCTCCCTTGTCCTCGAGATCGACGAGGATGGGATTTTGACAGTCACGTTGAGGGATACCTTCGGTCGATCCGTTTCGAAGTCGTTGGGAAAGAATTGGGGGAAATGCAGCCCGGAGGAGGCGCGAAGAGCGGCGGAGATTGCATCGAAGTTTGCACGGGAGGATGAGGACCACGTGGGCAAAGCACGTGCTCGGACTCGCTTGATGGAGTGCATTTATAGGATAAGATGGCGGCTGAGTCTCGTTTCGGACCGCAAAGAGAAGAAGAGGCGGACGAAAATGCTGGATGAGATCGAAGAAGAGGTAGGTGATAGCTCTTCGCTTTGTGATATTGCGGTGTACGATGCATGGAAACGGCACGTGGAGGTCACCTGTGGGCATATCTGATGCCCTCTGAATGAACGAACCGTGTAGCTTGTGGTCCTAATGGAATATGTAGAAGCTCCTTTTACCATTGCTGATGGGATATATGGCTCTACATTCTTTTTAGCTACCGGATTCCTTGGCTTTCATGTCATGATTGTCATCGTAGGAACCATTTTTCTTATTATCTGTTGTGTTCGAAAGTACAGAGTGCTGACGTGACTCGGCTTCTTTTTTTTTTTTTAAT